GATGAGCAGTCATCAGGTGTTGTGAATTCCAAATATTTTTTCTAGTTTTTATTTGCCTGCTAATATGTTATGATATCTTTTTTATTTTAAAAAAAATCTTTTTCAGGCAGATTCATTCATTTTTTCTTTTGTCACCTTTTGGCTTGGATCATAGCTTGAAACTCCTTCCTCCTTCCAAGTTCATATAGGAATTCTTCCCTGTTTTCTTCTACTACTTTTTCTTCACTTGCTTTCTCTGCAGTTTATATCACCGGAGGTAGAGACGTGGATCCAGTATTTTTTCTAATGACCAGTGTCCAGCACAGTTTATTGGAAAGTCAGCTTCCCTCACAGACTAGAGATGACACTTTCATCCCATATTTACCTCTCATATGAATTGGGTCTATTTCTAGACTTGCTATCTGATTGCTTTTGTCTGTCCATTTTGCTTTCACTTTCTTACGCCAGATCCAAGTCGGACTCACCAGAGCTCATAGAGAGAAACTTCAGCCTTTTTGTAGCTGCTAAAACAAAAGTAGAATGCCCGCATTGTTAAATGACAATAAAGATTAAACTGTTAATGGGATAAAAGTGTTAATCGGTTTTAACCGCCCTGCAGAAAGGCTGTGCTTTGAAGAATTTCATTACTTTCTATAATTAAACATTAAATTTTAAATACTGAATAGATACACCACGGGTTTTCAGGACAGTTCTCCTGCCCTTCTCCATTGCTGAGCATTTAAAATTTTTGTGTGCACAGAGGGTAAATATTTGGTCATGAAATATATCAACAATACTGCAAAACTTACACTGAGAATGAAGTCTTACAGCCATGAACAACAACATTGCGAGAGGTGGACAGACTCGTCTGTAGTAAAATTGTATCTAAAGACCCACAGATACATATTTTAAAATATCTGTGTTCACTTTTTAAAAGTAAAGTGTTTCCGGATGCCTGGGTGGCTCAGTTGGTTAAGCGACTGCCTTCGGCTCAGGTCATGATCCTGGAGTCCCAGGATCGAGTCCCACATCGGGCTCCCCGCTCAGTGGGGAGTCTGCTTCTCCCTCTGACCCTCTTCCCTCTTGTGCTCTCTGTCTCTCATTCTCTCTCTCTCAAATAAATAAATAAAATCTTTAAAAAATAAAAAATAAAAGTAAAGTGTTTCCATAACTTTTGATTTGGTGAATTTCTTTAGTTTGTCATTTGGAAAAAGACTGGAATTTTGAAGCCACCCCTTCATACAGACTTAAGTTTGAGACTTTAAAAGCAGGAAAAGGAGGGCAGTCATTAATAGCTTACACGGTACCTAGGGCATGTTCTCAAGTGAAGTTACCTCCAGGGGACCCTCTTTTAGAGCTGTTTTCTCCCTTTGAGGGGAACTGGGAGAACCCTGCATAGCGGAGCACCTCGTTTGGAGTTCTGTTTCCTGTGAACACAGACATTCATTCACGTGAACTCTGGTTGGTCCTTATTAGAACACAGCAGAGATTAGACTGGGAGTACTGTTATTTCGAATGACTATGGAAGTGAGTGGTGAGCTGGAATAGAGAAGGAGAGAATAAATGGAATTTGAAAAAGAGCCACTGAGGGGCGCCCGGGGGGCTCAGTCTGTGAAGCGTCTGCCTTCGGCTCAGGTCATGACCTCAGGGTCCTGGGATTGAGCCCCATATCGGGCTCCCTGCTCAGTGGGGAGTCTGCCTCTCCGCCAGCTCATGCTTTCTCTCTCTCTCAAATAAATAAATAAAATCTGAATGAAAGAAAGAAAGAGAGAGAGAAAGGAAAGAAAAGAAAAGGAAAGGAGACAAGCCATTGAGGGAAAATACTAGGATTTTCTTAGACTCTTACTCTATTGAACCCTATTGACAACCTAACACATGCTGGATTTGGGCGGCCACACCTGCTGAATTAATCCCTTCCGGACCACTGTCACCTGGTTTCATGAAAAGACAAATGAAAACAATCTTGTGATCAAGTCTTGTTGCCCCCGTTTTATAGATAAGGGACTGAATTGGTAAAATAATGTGTTCAGGTCAGCCCCCCATTACCTCCTGTTGTTGGCCCCATGCTTCCCCCGGCTAGCACTTACTACAGTTAAGTGTGTCCTTCTCAGGACAGTGCTGATCTTCTCCACTCCTTATAGAGCCTCGGAGGCAATGAGCCCTGTATACCTTTCCATCCTTTTCATCCTCCGGCTCAGGACAGTGCCTGGCTTACAGGACCTACTTGATAAATGTGGGATAAATGAACGTCCCCAGCCATGATGTGATGGTTGAAATCTGTGCCCTTTGACTTTTGAATCCTATACTATTATAATGTCCCCTAGGTTACAATGTCAAAAGCAAAAAACAATCAAACAAACAAACAAAAAAAAAACCCTGGAAATTAGTGTGTCGGTCTACTTAGAATTTTTATGAGGCTCTAGTTTGTTCCTTAAAGCTGAAGGGACCTCAGAGATTATATTCTTTAACATTCCATTTTTGGTAAGAAAAAGTATTAATTTTGTGAACACACCCAGTTATTAGAAAGAGAGCTAACAGTTGTAATTGTCTATAAATTTCAATCAAATTCAGTTGTGAGCCAAGACAAACGTACAGTGTCCCCATTTTCACCTTTTCTCTAAATAAATGCAATTGAGGAACGTGCATATTAGTGGCAAGAGGGTTGGGATACTGAAATGTAGGTAGCACCTCTGTCTCAGCTCTTCCCAAGTTAAGGAAAGGATTCTTTTAGGTTTTTTGCCCTTGTTGTCACGGTGTTTCCTTTCTGACCTTTGGACTCCTATGTCACCGTCTGAAGCTACACAAGCACAGCTTCTGATCGGTCTTCATTTGGGTCCCGAGTGTCATCTCCGGCTCCCCTTAATAAAATGGTGACGTGTAGAAAGAGTTCTGTAGGCTGGTGCTTCTCAAACTATAATGTGAAGAGGAGTCACCTGGGATCTGGTAAATGCAGGTTCTGGTCCGGTAAACTGGACAGGCTCCCAGTGAGGCCGGTGCCGCTGGTCTGTGGACCACACATGGAGTAGCAAGTCAGAATGGCTTCATCTCTCCCCGCATCTTCTCTAGTACCGGCTTGTCCCCAGAAAACTATTCAGACATATGGGAAGAGGTAAATCTCTTGTATCTGCTTCTTACGCGCCCCAAGAGAACATGTTTTAAACAATACGCAGAGAAACCTAAGCTGTTTATTCCAATGCTGCAGACAAAAGTCATTAAGTCTGAACTAATTTTACTGAAGAAGTGTGAGCAGCTTGGCTGCAGGTACCTGCATTGAAGAAAGACCACCTTTTGCAGAAAATGGCTTCCCTTTTTAAAGCCAGCATGTTTTAACTCCTTGTTTGCTGATCAAAGGCTGGAGTTGACAGGAGTCTGTGTTTCAGAAGCTGGAGGAAACCTCCTGTAAGCTTTCAAACCTTCTCTGGGCAGCTAAGTCCCAGGAAGTGGGCAAGTGTTAGCCCTCTGCCTCTCTGTGACTGAGTAAGAAATGGCAGTCGGTGTCTTCATTATCTCATTTCCGAGGGCTCATAAGCAGTGCTTTTCAGATGACAACGAACAGAACTCAAGTCGGAACAGGCTGGCTCACCACGTGTCAGTCCTTGCCCTGCTCTGGCTGTTGGACTTCGTTGCTCCTCAGAATCAACAAAGAAACTCATTTGTTTCACTTTGTGAAAACACTTCATTTTCCCCCCAGACTTTCCATTTCACGCTGTGTGAATTTTATTAAGATCTTTTTCACAGAAGCTAAGTGCTGGCTCTATGGGGCCCTACGGGATGGCATTCGCAGCCTCTGTAATGTCTGAAGCCTCTTGAGACATTTCTTTTCTACTGAAAACTCCTTGGAGAGTCACAGAGAAGAATCCAAAATCCTCTTGGTGCTGGAAGACATAGTTTGGCCTCATGAACATCTCATGAAAATTTTCTGATGTTAGCATCATATTGATAGTGAGCAGGTCTTTCTGAGGGCCTCCAGTTATTTTTAAAGGCTGGCTTGAAGTGTTAATTAGAAATATTTTTCATCTTGGAATTAGTCTTTGTTAATATAATTTACCTATAATCCTATTGCTTTAACAAGGTGTCAGTGGATTTATTCCAATAAAGTTGTTTTAAAAAGGTAATTATAATTAAATAATAGAAAAAGAATTTTTATCCTGATTTTTTCCTCTTGAATGTACATAATAAGAACTTTTAATGTTATTATATGCTCTCAGAAATGACTTAGTAATCACTGTGTAATAGTCCATCAGATAAAAGTACTAAAATTAAGTCACTCATTTCTCTACAGTGGATATTTAGATTGGTCTTTCAACTATCGTAAAGATCTTATGAGATGAGACTATTATTTTTCTTATATTAGAGATGTGAAAAGGAGGTATAGGCAAGTTATTTAACTTGTCCAAGGTCACACTGCCGGTAAGTGGCAAAGCGAAAATTCAAACCAAATATCCTCACACCTAAATAGGGTCTTCTTTATGCCAGATCATTTCCTAAGATGCACAAGATTTGCTTAAGGATCTCTCGGTTTAAGCCTCAGCCTATGTATGCAAATCCGTAAACTAAAAAATGTGTGGTCTTCTTGATTCCTACTAGAGTGAGTATAAAATTTCAGATTTTCCTTAAGTTCTTCACATTTCAGGAGCTCCCAAATCATAGGAAATAGTGGTATGATAACACAAATGTGAAATTCCTTAAAGAAAACAACTCTTTGCTTATATTAGGAAGACAAATGGGAGTGCTGCACAGCAGTGGCTGAACCCACTTGTATCTGTTTCTACACACAGTTTTGAATGATTCATCTTTAAAATTGCAAACAGTCATAGGTTTTTGCCCTTCGTTCCGTCTCATGTACCACGTAAAGATATGCTTGTTGGTTGGTTGGCTTGGTCAAGGCTGAATCTGCTTCCCTAACTCCCATGGAAGTCAAGGAGGAGGGTGACAGAGGGCACGGGCGTCTTTTACATGGAGAACTGTTACGCACTTGAACACATGAAGACCCATCTCTTTCCCTATCTCTATTCTCACAGAATGTGTGACACAGGAGAAGGACTATTCACTTTTCAAACAAGGGAAGGAGAAATGATCTATCAGAAGGTCCATTCTGCGACACTGGCCATAGCTGAGCAACATGAAAGATTAATGCTAGAAATGGAGCAGAAGGCCCGGGTAAGGCTCCTTCCTCGGTAACCTAACAGCTTGGAAATGAATGTCGCTGAGGTCTGATGCACATCATGTATCTGTGGGCCCATTCACGTCAGCACCCCGGTGTCCATCCTCACCCCCCAGCCCTGAGAGCTCGCCCCAGTTACCAAATCCCATGTCTCTAAGGCCCTATTCAGCATATGCCCAAAGAAGTTCTTTGTGGCCACAGGTAGAGAGCTGTGCACTCCCTGTATCTCCACGTATCTCCCCATGACCTGTTGGCACAGTTACCCAAGGAGGGGTGGGAGCATAGAGAATGAAATACAAAGCTATGCTCTCTGCATATCACCACATACAGGTGGACCATCAGAGATTCAACTGTGGGCCCAAAATAACCAGGGAAATTAAGTTACTACCAGAAAGAACTCTGCTTTCTTTTTGTCTTTATATTTGTCCTAGATTCTCTGAAACTTCTCTTTCTGTATGTGTTGCAGAGCCAATAATAAAATATTTGCAGAAGGAGCTGATACTGTTTACCAACAGTATAAGGAACTATACTACAGCTTTGTGGTCAAGCTAAGAAATCATTTAGTAAAGAACCTGAAATAGTAACTTTTACAAGTAGCTGAGAAAAAATTATAAGTTCAACTACTAACTTCTTGGAAAAGCAAATAATGGAGTGATTATTAGCCATAATCTGAAGAGGTGACTATTCTTCAAGATTTATAGAGAGGCATTAGATTTCATTAATGAAGGGACAGGTGCAGTTTTGAAAAATAGGTGGGTCGCTCACTGGAATGACACTCATAATTCTGTTCCAGTTTAAAGACGACAGAGTTCTATATGTAGTATTATATTTGCTTGATTTTTTAAAATTATCCATTATGTAATATTTTTTAAATTATCCATTCTATAATATTTTGACATATACAAAATTATCTTTTAGGTATAAGAAAACAAAAAATAATTTAACAAATGATCTTATGTTATTCTTAACGCATTTCTAATTTTGTCAATAGTATATACACATTTTTATCTATCTAGGAGAAGCTTTAAAGAGCTTTCCTAATACCTCAGCATAACAAGTGAATACCAGGCCTTATGCAGGACATTTGGTCTTTCATAGGGATGAATGAGTGGTTTGAACATTAGTAGGATTAATATGATTGTGTGATTAATTATAGTAGCATTAATAAGACATGGGTATAACTTAGTGTCCTGGAAAGATTTGGGTTAAATGTAAACCATCTTAACAGTTATCTAATTAATATGACATTTACCCAAGGGCTTAAATCAGTGAGAAAATAGAACTACCAAATTTCAAATTATTTCAGAATCTACTGGTGTTTGCAACTAAAATTAACAGTGTGATGTCACTTGGTATTAGTTAACAGTTAACAATTAACTACACTTATCAGTTGTAGCTTTACTTATAGCTGTTCTGAACAGGCAAAATGCTCATGAGTACAGTCATTTAATTGTATTGCCATGAAGGAAATGCCAAGGGCTCTTTTACAAAAGCGTACTGTCTGCTATAAAGGGGAGCCCTTGGTATGTGTCCTGCGTTCACATCCCAGTTCTACCCCTTCTTGGCTGTATCACTTTGGGCATCTTGGGATATTAACTTCTAAATGTTTCCATTTTCTTTTTTTGTAAAATGAGGATATAGTAGTCCTACTTCTTTGGTGTTATGAGGTATTTGTGCATGAAAATCTGTAAAGTACTGAGAAAAGGCCTGGCACATGGCAAATACCATGAAAAGGTTCATTATTACGATAGTGATCCATCTGTAGGAGTGATTTTGAATAATTATAAGACTTGAAATGTTTGTGAAGACTCTAAATTGTTATTCCCAACTGTCGCTAAATAATGCCTTTCAAGTATGTCTAACAATCTTGTGCCAAAAAATTTGCAAAACAAAATTTAATTATCATTTGCTCTTGGTGCTGTCGTGTGTGATAAACATGATAATGTCCTGTGTGGCTGAGAAGCATGTCCCCAGAGCCAAGCGAAGCAAATGCTGTTAGGGGTTAGAGACCAGCAGTCCACTGACGAAGATCTTAGGCAGGTGACAGCTGGGTGGGGGGAGGGTGCACCATGGACCTGGGCACTCGGAGATGGAAAAGTGGGGCAGGTGTTTAAATAGCAGTCTCACCAAAGAAACCAAATGTTTCTAAGAATCACAAAATCAGAGACTCCAGCAGTTTGGTGCATATGTGCAGATGGAGCATTTGGTTTAATTTCGAACACAATTGCACAGCTACTCTTTTCTCTGAAGGTTAAGACTAATAAGATTACTTCATATCTAGTGCTTTCTTCAGAATAAGCCAAGCTAATGTTTTCAGAGGCCATGCTACCACAACCTGACAACTGCCCAAATTCCTCAAATTCTGGGACCATAAGTAAACATTTCCAGGGCTCCCAGATGTAATTTTTACTTTTTCTTTTAAGAGACTGCCTCTACACGCACAAATCTCTTTGGAAGAAGAAGTACCAACAACTATGAAATAGTATTAAACACTCTCTAACTCTTCATTTGCTTATTTAAATAAAATGAATGCATGTGTTACAAACTAGGCAAACGTACAACTTGGGAGCTGGAAAGATACCCCCAAATGTCAGATATAAAAATGATGCATCTTATTTATTATGTATTTCCTACAAAATAAGAAGAAGGACACTGCTCGTTGGCTTTCCAGTTTTAAAAATGGGCCATGTGAGGGGCGCCTGGGTGGCTCAGTCATTAGGCATCTGCCTTCAGCTCAGGTCATGATCTCAGGGTCCTGGGATCAAGTCCCCTGTCAGGCTCCCTGCTAGGCAGGGTGCCTGCTTCTCCCTCTCCCATTCCCCCTGCTTCTCTTCCCTCTCTCGCTGTCTCTCTCTTTCTCTCTCTGTCAAATAAATAAATTAAAAATCTTTAAAAACAAAAGTAAATAAATAAATAAAAATAAAAATGGGCCATGTGAGATTGCTAATGAGCACATAGAAAATGTTTACATATTTTTATAACATTTACATTTATTACATTGCAAGATCAAATTAGGAACGAGCTATATAAGCAATAAATTCCCCTAACATTGATGTTCAAGCTTCTGACACATTTACTCTCATCCTTTTAAAGAAAGATGATTTGATTTAACAGTGTTACTGTCTTATAGATAAACAAATTTAAATGAAAAATAATATCTCAACAACCATTTCTTAACTGTAACAGAGAATTCAGTATAATCTTTTCACATCACATGTGTGGTTAAAACCTCTGTTTGCCCTTGTTTATTACCTTCCTTCTGGGGGGAAGAGGGGAGACACAAGAATAAACATATTTTGATATATTTCCATGATCTAAGTTAGGCAATGTTTCTGCTCTTGTTTGAGAAATCTGATCTCTTGGGGTGCCTGGGTTGTTCAGTCAGTTAAGCATCTACCTTGTGCTCAGGTCATGATCCCAGGGTCATGGGACAGAGCCCTGCTTCAAGCTCCCTGCTTCAGCAGAGAGCCCGCTTCTCCCTCTCCCTCTATCTGTTGCTCTGCCTACTTGTGTTTTCTATCTCTCTGTCAAATAAATAAATAAAATATTAAAAAAAAAAGAATCTGATATTTAGAAAAAGTCCCAGCCTTGTGAATAAAACAGTGCATTTGCACTAAAGATAACAAGGATAACAAGAATCATTAAATCAGTGAGGTTATTTAAAAATATTTTTATTTCCTTCACTGAGAAAGATAACAAAAGAATTAATTACTATTAACCGACTCAGGAAGTTTTTCAGTAGAGCTTAGCAGCGGATTAACCATTCACAGGTTTGTAAACGGTTTACTCTGCTCAGTAAGCTGTCTGGTGATATACAGAACACAAGAGAAGAGCAAGAAATTCTTTCTCTCACGTGATCCAGAAGTTTGTGGGATCAAGTAATTTATACTGCCTGAGTAAGATGATCTCACTCCTTTTACTCCTTAAAATATCAAACATTTTCCATGCCTTCATCAGATTGGTAAGATGATGCCATCACAAGATTTTGGTCAGAGTTACTGGAAACACCCCAGGGGCTCATTCTGTGGTCATGACAATGGACCCTGACCGATTCCTTAGATCACCAGCTTACTGGAAGGTCCTTACTTAACCCTCCATAAGGAATGAGTTCTGCACTACAAGAAGACATGCTTCCCCTTTTGCTTTCAGATGCAGAGCTTCAGCTTCTCACTCTCCTGTCCAGTGGGACTCAGAAAATGGTCATAAAAGGGGCTAACAATCCTCCATATTATCTTTACCTGTTAACACCAAAGCATCTTATGTCAGAGGACAGTTTTGGTTTTGGGGGTGCATGGGAGATTGAAGTAGTAGTAAATTTTGAACTAGAACTCTTTCTGAGAGATTCACTAAGATTCAAATCGTTGAAGAAATGATTAAAGCTAGATGTGTAAGCAAATGGTACCTCCAGAATTTGTTCCCTTTTCACGGAGATCATTCTTGTTCTTAGAACCATCAGACTCCTTTGAATGCTATTACTAAAAGCATTTATAGGTCCTCTGCCGCCCATGTGCCGCATTATCAAGAAAATTTTTCTTGTCTTTGTGATCGAAGCTATTCATCAGAAACCACATCACAAATGTGCCCTTATGATTCTGCCTGGTGAGGCTGAAATCATCAGAGATGACAAGGCCTCAAATGCCCTGAAATAATTTAATTTTCATGGATCTGTTACACACACACACACACACACACACAATATGAAAAGAAGTTCCCTTTTAAATTTGGTTTTTGTGTTTGTAAGCTTTACATGTGTTATAAAATGCCCATAGGTAAGGAGCAACTGAGAAGACATGAATAATTTTTTTTAAAAAAATGAATTTTCCTAATATCTTATCAATAATAAGTAAATAAAAGCAGAGGGGCATTGTCATTATTAACTTCGGACCTTGTAACATTGCAAGTAATTTAAAAGCCTATTTGCAGAAGGACAGCCTCCCATAGTAAGAATTACAGTGTATCCTTTTAAAAACAGGATTTGGAATGCTCCTATTTCCAG